TATTATAGATAACCCTCCGAGCAGGTCATTGGGATTGGCCATCGCCATCCATCTCGCCGAACAGGTCGACGTCGCCTGCCAGTTTCTTCGTTGCATCCTCCACCTCATCTTCCAGCTGCTGATGCTCCATTGCTCCCGTCCCTCTAGCGAATCCGGCCCCTATCACTTGAAGGTCAATGATAGGGTAGTGGGACCGGACCCCCGCTAGGGTGTGTGTAACGGCGGTGATGGTGGCGTCATGGTTGAAGCTTTTAAAGTTCTCCCACACCGCCTTGCACCTGTCGATGAGGGTGTCCAGACGCGGTGGCTTGCCGTCGGGATGAGGAGCCACCTCCATGTCAACACAGTCGAGCACCGGCTTGACTTCGGCAACTACGACGCCGAGCTTGTTCCTCTGGGTTCTAGCCTCCTATTCCAGCACATCTAACTACGCCTTGGTCCTCCGACGATAGTCTGCAGGCATTACAAGGGTCCGTCAAGCAAAGAAGATACTCCAGCAATAACTCCGACCATGAAGTACTCACCTTTAGCTCCTCGGCCAGCTTCTCCGCCCACCCACCCGTCTTCTTCTCCTCCTCCTAGAGTTGACCAATGACTTGGCGTAACTGGTCGAGCTCCGTGTCTTGCTCTGCAAGCAAAACGGTCGTCAACAACAATAAGACTTCAGCAATGCAAAGCAAATTCACCGATCCGCCATACCTTTTCTCTCTTGGAGATGTTTCTGAGCTGCTTGGATTTGCGTTCCAACTGCTCGAAAACACTCCTCAGCTTCTCGGAGATGGTGGCTAGCTGCTCGGACCTGCCCCGCAACTGCTCGGACATGGTCGCCAGCTACTCGGATAGAGCCCCCTTTTGGTATTCCAGATCCCGTGCGCTGGACTCGGCAAGATCCCGCTCGCGCTGGGCCCTCTGGACATTTTTCTCCATAAGCTTCATTGCCTCCTTCAACTTTGCATTCTCCTCGGTGAGGGGCTCCATCCTCTTGATTAGTTGTTGCCGTTGTTTAGCTATTCGAGCTATGCCCTTCAAAAGCACCAAGATTATGAAGAACTCCAATCTCCAACATCAAAGACGAACATTGATGAAGCAATGCTAACCTTGATCTACTTCATCGCCGTCGAAAGGGTGGACTCTAGTCTCCTGAGCTCCCTGGTGGTGTCCTCCTCCTCAACGACCACCACTTCGTCGCCCCGCTTGTGAAGGATTCGGACGGCTTGAGGTCATGATTCCTCACGCTCGATCTCTTCCACCTCGTCCTCCTCCTCCGCAACTGGTGGCGCCACCTGGGGACTCGGTGGCCGCACAGCGCGGGCGACCATGCCCTCCGACGTCTCTAGGAGCGCGGCCGGTTCTTCCGGCTGCACCAGCCTCCCTGCCCCTAGATTTAGGCGCGGCATCAGCAACTCCGGCATCCACCTCTGAAGACCCGGCGGCTTCCGCTGTTGCCCCAGGCATCACCGCCGAACCATTCGACGTCGGCGCCAACCGTTCACCGCTACCAAGTCCACCAGCAGTGGCGGTTGACTCCTCCACAGGCCGCTGAGCGCCCGGAGACTCCAGGACAGGATCTGCCGACATCGCCTCCGCACCGAGACCAGACCCTTGCTGCTCGTCGATCTAGACGGACGGATTCAAATCCTCCATATGCCTCGCTTTGCATCAGATTAGCTCATCAATCGCCAAAAGAGATAAAGATACGATAGCAAAATAAGTCCAAGTCAAGGATACTTACGTGTCGGCTTTCTGGTACACTTTTCTGAACCGACGCTGCCTACTTGAGCCCCCAGGCATGGCCCTAAGGTCAACTCGTGTGCCCTAGGGTGGAGGTCTCGTGGCCTCCACCGTTGGCCTCTCCTCTCGGGGACTCCTTTCGCCTACTGCTCGGGGACTTCCTTCCCTCCCTTCGATTGTACCTCCACGTGAGTGTTGCGCGGAGGCGCTTCAGTGCTAGGAGGGGGAGCTACTGGGGCCCCGTCATCATCCGACCACTCGGACATCACCGCACTCTATGCGTTCGAGTGGTCTGGTCACCACCAAGCGAGATGCCACCCGGCTTGCGGGGAGCAGCACCCGTTGTCTTCCTCTTCTTCCGGGCTGGCTCATCTACCGCTGCCCTCTTCCCTCGGACTTTCTCCAACACCGGGGGAGGACTCTCCGTCCGACTAGCGTCCGCGCCTCCGGACTCCGACGAGGCGCTGACAGCACCTTCCTCAGGCTGCGTTGTTGGCCGGGCGCCCACTGCCCTCAGCCAATCGCCCCTCAGCACGTCCGAGAAGTATGCCGCTCTTTCCTGCGAATGGATCTTTCTATAAGTGAATCATTTCACTGCTCGACAACGGTAAAGGATAAAAAGTATTAGGAACAAACAATTGAGATATTTACCTGAGGAGGCGGATTCATGCAGTTAAAGGCTCTCGTCTGCCCTGACACGTTGAACGAGGCATTTGAAGCGAATAGCCCTACGGACCACTCTATCACATCGTCCTTTGATAGCCTCTCCGTCCTCTCTCGGGTGCCGTTGGTGTCCCCCTTGAAGTCAAAGCCTGTGTGGGCCCTCTCCTTGTAGGGCTGGACGTGGCGTACTATGAAGCTCGCCGCCACCAATCCGCCGTTTATCTTTATGCCCTTTATTAGGCTGAGGAGCTCCCTCACCTGCTCCATGTCAGCACTGCTCGACTTCTCCAACCAGCTCTTTTGGTTCTCTGGAACATGGTCGACGTCGTAGTGGATGGCAGGGTGGCTCTGCTTCATGTAGAACCACTTGGCGTTCCACCCCTTCAGCGAGGTGTTCAGCGGTATAGTGATGTACTCACCCGCCATTCCATCGAGGAGTTGAAGATACACGCCACCGACCACCTTTGAACCGCCGCCACCCTTCTTCTTTAGCCAGAACAGATGACGAAAGAAGTGGGGAAGAACTCCGAGATACGCCTCACAAGAGTGGATAAAAATCAAGATGTGCAAGATAGTGTTTGGGTGGAGATTACAAAGACTAACTCTCTAGAACTCCAACAGGTCCCTCAAGAAAGAATGAACGGGAAATCCTAACCCGCGCCAGAAATAATATTCAAAAACTACTACTTCGTCAGTATGCGGCATCGGGAAGGGCTCACCGCTGGCTGGCCGCCATCCAGCGGTGACACGGTTAGAAAGAACGCCCGCCTCCACCATCCTGCTAATCTCCGCCTCCCCCATGTTCGATGGCACCCACTCATTGTCACGGCTGGCTCCGGCGGTCATCTTCTTCGGGTTTCAAGCTCCCCTCTTCGGCGCCATCTCTCAGATCTAGTTTGGAATTGGCGGTGGAAGCGCGTGTGAATGAGAATCTGGAAGTGCGAGGGTTGAGGAGGAAGACGAAGAGCAAAGTGGCAAAGGTGGGAGCGCGGGGTGCGGTGGCGCAGTTATAAAGCACTCCCCCACCTTTCGCATTCGAGGGTTTTTGGGAAACCACTTCACGATTTGCGCCTCTTCGAATTCTCCGCAATAGTGTGGTGAGCCGTTACCTAGGCTTTCACGCAACTGCAGCCCGTATCATCCATTTATCGCCGTTATTTGTTACTGCTCACCGAATATTCACCGACTTCTCCGCCATCTGTTATGGCTCAGTAATTACTACTATATAGCCTTTACTCCGGTTTTTTTCTCCAAGATTTCTACTTGCGGCTCGAGGACTACGTCAGCAGTAAGACTTGGTTCCCCATCGCACTTGGGACTTTCTTCTTTCTTGACTGTTTTTCTTTCATGTGACAATGGACCTCGCACCATGTGACACTTCACACGGTGAATGTGCTTTTCTCATCTCGGGCTACGCCCAGGACTAAGTGGGCGCACTTCACCTTCTACTTGGACCCGGGCACCACGTGTTTGTTTTAATCTCGTTCGGGAAGACTCACCGTGCGGTAAGTGTGTTTGCTTTAATCTGAAGAAGTTGAAGAAAACTATCTCCCTTTCTCGTGGTCGGACTCTAAGTGGGCATACTTAGTTCACTGCGGGGAAATTTTTAATTTTGAACTTGAGCTTCTTACATCCTTATGGCAAGTCTTACTTGGGATACAATGCTCAGCGATGGTTCACACTGCTCGGTGACGGTTCACACTGCTCGGTGATGGTTCACAGCTGCTTGGCGACGGTTCACACTGCTCGACGATGGTTCACAACTGCTCGGCAACTCATCACGGTGGTCGGACCACGAGTTTGACTGCTCGGCTTTGTTCGCACCTGCTCGGACAAGTTCAAGACAGCGTTGCACAACGGATGCAAGGTGCTCGGGGACTAGCTGTGGGAGGTACAACCCCGGATACCCATGACAGATCACATGGGTTGCGCCCCTAGGGGCGGCCCACCCACAAGACCAAGCCTTGCGGGGCACGGCGCTGCTCGGCGCGTCTCGCAAGACACTGGGAAGATATCCTGAAGATACTACGAGATCTGATAGGATACGTATAATCCTATGATTCCTGTAATCTGTTATTATTTTTCGGTTATCTCCTAGATCTAACCGAATTGTAACCCTGCCTCCTGAACTATATAAGGCGGGCAGGGACCCCCTCCAAACACACGTAATATCATACGATAGCCAATACAATCCAACAGACCACAGGGGTAGGATATTACGTCGTGCTGACGGTCCGAACCTGTCTAACTCGTGTGTTTATGTTGTCTTCTTGTTCTCGATTACACGCATCTCTGTCAATCAATCTACCTTCATGGGATACCCCTCGAAGGACTGCCGATGATATTATGTCGATAATAGCTAACTGTAATGACAGTATTGGTACGTACAAACTACAAACCCAAAAAAACAGGGATCAATCGTCTCGATTTCCACACGTTCGTGAACATTGGGCCCCGTTCGCTTCGCTGAAAAAAAAAAAGTCAAAACACTTTTCCGGCTGATTTGTTGTGAGCGAAAAACACTGTTCCAGCTAAAAAAAACGAGCTGAAAAATACGAATTATAAGAGAAGAGGGCCATCCGTGCGTGTAACTGATCGATGATGGATCAGTAGGACGACTCCGACGAGTGAGCTGCCGCGGCGTTCAGCTGCGCCTCCCACGCGTCAAAAGCGGCGCTCCAGCTGGGTGCTGCCACCAGAGGCGCCGACGCGCGACGCCGAGCGTGGAGGCGAGAAGCAGGGCGTTGCGGTTGCGCGGGCGGCGGCGGCGGCGGCGGCTGGCAGAGGTAGGTGGCGCCCGGTGCGGCGTGGTTGTGGACGCCGTCGTAGGTGGTGACGACGTAGCGCGGATCGTCGCTGTCCCTCTCCACGCGCTTCTTCACGCCGCAGCCCTCCGCCGAGCACCGGTAGTAGTTCCTGCACGCACGGCGCGGCGGCGGCGATCAGCACGTCATGCATGACAGCATGAACGTGACCATGGAATTGAAGTGTTCGGAGTTGGCGGCGGCGCCTAGTGTTGTATTGTATCGTACCTCGGGTTGGGGCTGCTCTTGACCGCCTTTTTGCCGTACTTGCGCCACTTGAAGCCGTCGTCCAGCACGTCCACCTCCGACCTCGTCCGGAACCCGATCCGTGACGCCGGCCGCCGGCCGCCGCTCCCGGTGCCAGCTGGTCCGCTCATCGGCCTCCTCCCGTCGCCCTCGACGCCGGCATAGCTCCTGAATCGGATCAATTAAACCACGCAACTGATGCGATGAGCATAGCCACAACGTGTGACGGCGACAGCGCACATTGCACGCAATCAAGCTACATGTACGTACGTATGTACAGGTATCCACGTACGGAAACTTACAGCAGGCTCATGCCATCGTCGAACACCGGTGCCGGCGGCGAGCAATAGCCGCCGCAGCCTGGAGCGCGAGCGCCGCCCATCTCCTGGCCGAACTGGAAGTAGTAGTCATCAACCATGGCCGTGGCGGCGGGCGGCGGGAACTCCGCCACGAGGTCGCTGGGTGGTGGTGGTGGTGATGGGAAGTACGAGCAGGCAGCGGCGGCCGGCGGGTAGGCGGCGTAGCACGCCTCGTGGGCGAGTCCTAGCGAGGCCGCCATGTAGAGTAGACGCACGCACACGGCACACCGGCGACTGTGGAGCGAACCAGCTGCTGCTGCTGCTGCTAGATAGCTGCCGTGGCGCTGCGTGTGACGGGATAGATATATTCCATCTAGCCCGGCCCGTCAAGCTCGGCAATTTATACTAGCGCCCGGACGACGCTGGCACATCGTCGTCTGTGGACTGCTGCTAGCTGATGATGAGGCGATGAGAGCTCAAGTCTCTGAAGCGAACTGAGCGAGCAGGCTAGTAGCCAGGCTTCTTCATGGATCTTTCACACAGCGGCATCTAGCGCACGCAGAAGGTTCGTTCGATTCTCAGATGCGTCTGCACGTGTCGAATGGCGTGACCAACTTTTGGAAGTTTCGACGGGACAAGCGAGCCCTAGTCAAGCAGCTAGCTAGGAGCCGAGACCGCCGGCCGGCCGTTGGTTCCGGCCGGGCGCGCGGTGACCGCGCACTGACTGTCCAGCATGCATGTAAATTATTCTTGCATTGGGCGCCGTCCTATGTTACCACACGTATACGTACGTATCTGGTTCGTGTAGTCAGAGCTAGCTAGCGTTCGTGGCTGTCCAAACTCGATCCAAAACGAAGCAGTCCAAGATAGCGTCCGGGGTCTAGATATTCCTGACGGGTCGATCGAGCGCATTACTGGCACTTTGGGCACGGTACGTACGTAGTACGGTGCATGCACCTGGCCGGCCGGAGGCAAGCGACACCTGTCAGAGATTTACCGGCCGCGCCAATCCGTTGCATGACTACCGAGTGCCGACGACGGCGAATTGAAGCTGGTCTCACTTTCTCCGAATTGATCGAGTACCGAGTACCGACGACGAATTGATCGAGCGAGGTAGCCATGAGCCATCGGCGGCCGGTTCCACGCCGCCGGCCGGTGCAGCAGCAGAAGCCAGAAAAAGTGACCGTGCCGACGTCCGTGTCACCGGGTGGCGGGTGAGTCGTGGCACGGTAACACGATAAGCTACTGGTACTACTAGTGTAGTAAGCTAGCTGTGTGCTGGATCTGGAGGACCAGTAATTCTGCGTGCCTGCGTGTGGTTGGCGACGGCCGACAGCGACGTGTGCCGCGCGCACGTAGAATTAAATGAACCTTGTTAACTTCACAATTGATGATGCGTCTATACTTTACCCGTTTACCGTCTCATATCTTTATTCCCTCTCACGGTCGCACTCAAAGAAATACGTTATATTACATATCGAACATGGTCTACGAGGCGAAACTTTTGTCAGGAAAAATAATATGATATTTCAAATTATATCACTAGATATTTTTTTACAAATACTTTTTGTAGTGAGCGAATCTGCATCGTATATTTGCTATGTTAATCGAATGGCTTCAAATTAAAATATACATCATGCTAATCGAGATAAAGACGAATATTTATATTGTTGGACTTTATGATGATGTAACGGCCTATGTTAATCCAAAGAGCCCATGCCTAACACAGTTAATAATTAATTAATTTGGTGTACATAATAATTAAAAAAATATATGCAAAACTAGCAAGTTGATTTTCATACGAGTTGGAAAGAAAAATACCTAAATAAAGGGGCCATGTAAACACAATTATAAAAGAAATTTTGAGTTAAAAATAGTAACAGTTTGATCTCCAAATGAATTGTAAAAAATAACCAAATAAGTAGTCCATACAAATCATGATCAATAAATAAGAAATAATTATAGAAAAATAGTAATTTGATCTCCATATCTAGGAAAAGGAACCTAAACAAACAGTTAGTGTATTAGAGCATCTCCAAGAATTTCCAAGAATTTCTTCCCAAAACCGTAGAGTTTTCCAATTGGCCAAAAAGTATTGGGAAAAGGCACATAGAGAGAGGGGGGCAATTAGATTACAATCAAACAAATAATTATTTTTTTAACAGAATTTATTTTCAAGAAAAAATAAATATTACAATAAAAGCTAGGCACCTCGTGCTCTATGCACGGTGCCATGGACCAACTTACTAGTAATTACAATGGGACTTGTTAAAATTCAGGCACCTGAATTTTAACTTTCTTTCAGACGACAGTTATTGCATATATTTATACTAAAATTGCAGCTTTATTTGTTGCAATTTATGTAGGCATAATTGCAATTTTTTATTCTGAGAATAAAAACTTGTTAGACAAAACCAAAAACTTGATAAAATCTGATCTATACCGGCACAAAGACAATTAACCGCACAATTGTTTATATAGTTAGATAAGGACAAAAATTTGATATGTTATGGTACAAAGACAAATAACAAATAACAAATTACAAAAGTAACAATTTAATTACTTGTATTAGTTGTTTGTACAAGAGCGTTGCATGAAATTATCTTAAATTTAGGCACCTAAAATATAGGAGAAGTGAATTACAATAGTCAAAGGTACAAAAGTTTGATTAACACGTGTCATGAATAAGAGGGGCTTCTCTCACGCATACACATTTTATTGCCCCATCGAGGATGATGGCGACCAGCACTAGCGATACATGGAACCAGATGTTCGCCAACCATGACGCCGATCTGGGTGATGATTGTACTTCTGGCACACGTTGGTTTTTGCGTGATTAGTTAACTCGGAAACTACGGGGGGAGTTACTACTACTACTAGTTGCTGTTAATTAATTACCGGCTGGCTAAGTATGTAGTGGCGCTAGGTACCGACTGAAGAAGGCAACCTGCAAAATCATCCGCCTTGGTCGGCTTTCTGGCTGAGTGGCATTTATCTAGCAATTTCGAAGGCGTCTGCATGCGCTCAGTGACTGACACCGATCGATCTTCACCTTGTAATTAACCGATCAATCTTTGTCCTTGAGATCGCGACCCGGGTTCATCAGATGCAATGCATGTTCCGTTCTGATCCATCCACTTGGTATCTTGTAAGAGAGCGGTGGACAATAAATATATAGAGGGTTCCGGTCAAAAAAAAAATATATATAGAGAGAGAGAGAGGGAGAGCAAACTAAAGTTGCGTAGCCACCTTTTCCATGTATGACGAATGCCGCGAACCGGCGAGGTAGCAGGCGCAAAGAAAACGTGGGAGTCGTTTCGTCGACGACGTCGCCGTCGATCGAGGTACAGTACTATGCATGGTTAGCCAGCCACCGCTGTGCGCCGGCACGTCAAGCGAGTGCACATGGCCGCCGGGGGCAGGCACTTGGTCTCGTTTCGGTCAGTGCGCCCGCGCTAGCTCTTCGATCCCATCACAGAGAAAAAGAAAATGCACGTGCGTTATTAATTCGTTGCTGGACGTACCGATCGGCCGGGTTTAGTGCAGTGTGTACAGGGATGGAAGGACTGAGCTCGAAGCACGCAACAACGAGCTCGTACACGCTGGACAGAGACAGCTTTGGGTCAGTTCATTTCCGGCAAGCTTTGCCTTGACTGGCCGGCTAGCAGTGCCGGTCCTAAATTTTAAGGGACTTCTAACGATCTCGTTGTAGTGGCCTCTCTAGTATAAAATCTTATAATATATAGTTACTAATTTTACTTACAAAACAAAAACAAATTCAATAACATATTTTGAATTTAACATGTCTGATAATTATCGAAAAATAATGTAGATTAAACAATATATTTGTTGATGTATGATAATTATCGATGAACAATGTAGATTAAAAAAACAATATATTCGTTTTCTTTTCTCACCCATGACAAATGTTTCTTAGGTAACATTTTAAAATTATAACGCCTAAATTAGAAGAAAAATATGACTATATGGGTACAAAGTACCAGAAGTCTGGAATACTATACAAATAATTAATTTAGATTAAAAATAAAAAGAAAAAATACCTTGGGTCTAAACAACTGATCGGTGATCGCAATTCGTAAGAAGCCAAGAATCAAGATGTCGTCGTCGTCGAGCCCTGCCTGGTCGCCGTCCTCGTGCGCCATGTCAGTGTCTCCGGTAGTCTAGCTCTTCGCGGCGGCGCGGCTCGCCAGCTCCGCGTGTGTAAGGCGCACGTCGCGAACTCACGATCATAGTGTGTTGTGCGCAGCGTGACTCCTCGCCTCCTCTTTACCCGAGGGCCGTGGGGAAAGGAAACTAGAAAAGAAATACCGATGTTGTTTTTTGGGCCGTTTGGCTAGTTCTATGTCTCTCTTCTCATTAGTTTGCTAATGCCTAATGGACTATAGGACCTGGGGTTTGTATACCTGGGCTTGAACCCTTCCTCCGCTTGGGCCCTCGACCGTCGTACCTCGTGCCCTACCCCTAGGGCCGGCACTGCCGGCTAGTCTTTGGTGAGCTGGATTGGTGGCTCTCATGTGATAGCAAGAAATTCGCTTGTTAGCACAAGCCCTAACACAACTTTATCGACTAACTAATCTACTACTCCCTTCTTCTTCTGAAGCAGGATCCAAATTTAATTTATCCTAAGTCAATATTTTATATGTCTAAATAAAGTCAAAGAGAAGACTATCAATTTTTATCATACCAAATATAATCCTATTTCATAATGTATCTAAAATGTAATCAAACTTCGTATATTTTGACTCGCGACAAACTCGGTCCCTTGTATTTCAGGAGAGAACTATTGTTTCTCATATTCACGTTCTGAGTTCTATCCAGGCAAGAAGATTAGGTGAAGAGCATGAAGAAAATCTCAAGTCTCATCCCCCGTGGGCTAGTACAGTGTGTGTTTGGTTTGAGAACAAGGTTGGATGAGATATGTGTATCTATGAATTTTTAATATGCTTATCCATGCTTCATGTTAGGTTACATGGATGTAACAGGTTATTTTTCTGTTTGGTTGAATGAATATCTGCTGAGCGCGACGAGGTGGGGCTAGTTATTTTTCTGTGTTGGTTGGATGGATGAGGATAGCCACGCCAACTATGTCATACGGAACCACTTGTCTTTTTTTTTCCAAAACATGATTATGTGATATCTTATTTTATAGATTTAAATAAAACGGATACAAGGATGTTATCGTATCACAAATACTATAAATGGTTTGTAGGAGATAAAATTGTTTGAAGGTTGCATGCAA